ATTAAATACACCAACATTGACCATTAAAAATGCTCACTAAGGCATAAGTTTGATTGAAAATATCACTTGTCATGATAAATATTTTAGAACATTGAGCGCTTCTCAAAGAATAGGTTAGAAAAAAAATACACCTTAAGCCTGAAAAGTATCTAAGTATATAACTACTAAAAAAATGAAATATTGAATGCTGAAAATACATATGGCGTATTGAAAATATAAAATAAAGGTGCGAAAACAAATTAACTCAAAGAAGTTTTAATTTCAGCCAAGACCATAACCCTTGTGTGAAATTTCAAAATTGCAAGGTCCTTAAAAGTAATAAATGTTCATAGGAGATTTTTGAATGTCATTTTCCCTATTGTTAATTTGATTATGTATATATAACACGAGATTTCTTCCACATACATCCAAAAAAATAAAATCATGATGGAAGAATTCATCTTGGTGAGTGGTATAGGGATCATAAAGGAAGATCAGATAGAGTCATTCAACTTTTCTCTCTACTATCCATGCCCATGTGTATTGCAGTTAGAGATTGGAAAAGAAGGCTCATTCACTTTGAATCACTTGGAGGCATTTGAAGTCAGTTGGAAAGCTACATGTGATGAAAAAATCAATGATAATAAAAACATTTGATTCAATTATTCAAAGTTGCACAGATTATAAGAGCTGCAATGAAACCTCTACTTGTGAGCCACTACTTCGGAGAAACTATTATGGATTATCTTTTTCATTGTTACCAGTATATAATAGCTGATTGTATGGTGAAGGAAAAAAAATTGTGTATGTCTTTCTCAACATGTATTTGACCAAAACAACTTGAAGAAGCCAGGTTCTATAATATATTGGCAATGTGCGTCGAACAAACTATTTATCAGTCTTCATTTTTATTCTGGGATTAAAGATTGCCTTGACAATTTCAATCACGCATCACTCCACTTTCCTTCCTCTAAGTTTCTTCACTTTCAAACATCTTTCTTTCTCTCTTTCCCTTCCTTATATCAGTCAAACAAATCTGTACCTACAGCCCCACCCTTGCTTTTCTTTTCTTTTTTCTTTTTTAATTCGTATATATTCTTTACATGTTTGTTGTTTGCCAAAACAACTGAGATTTTCTTCCCATTATTTTTTTTTTGAAAAAATATTCTGCATATGACTTTTTTAATATAGTTATTTGGCCAGGTTAAATTCGAGTATTATTGAATTCAATTAAAAAGTAGCTCTCTCAAAGGCCTTTACTGCATTCACGCATATGACTTTTGTCATGCATTGAATGCTAATATGATTTTAGAAGTGCAAAAATGCGTTCGTGAATTTGCTAAGCTTATTAAACCGAATCTGAGCCCATATAATGAACCCACTGTGAAAACTGGGCTGTGGTCTTGAGCCCATTTGGTAAACTGGGCCATGGGATTCATTTGGAAAAGAAATTTGTTTTGCTCAAGTTAAAATATTATTTGACACGTCTGAAAAAATTGCTATTTTATAATAATATTTCATTACATAAAAATAATGTCAGAGTAGAGAACTAGATTGACGCTGGAATATGTGAAGTGAGAGGTAAGACGACTTTAATTCCACATCCATAATAAGGTCGTGCTTTAAAATTTTTGATGGTTTAAACCAAACTAAGCAAATCAACCAGAAAAACTTGAAGAAAATGAAACTAAACAGTGGGAACGCAATTTATTCAATAGAACAAAAAGGTAAAGAAACCAGAACAGAATTGGAAGACGATCCTCACCGACTTAAGCCAGAGAGCAAATTTCTTTCCACCGATTTCAAAGGCTCCATTCGATCGGGGAAAAAACTTTTTAATCGAAATTAAATAAATGTAATTAAATTATTACTCACTTTATTAAAAATGTAAAATATTTTTAGTGTTTTAAGATGTAATTAATATATTTTTAAAAAGTATTCATAAAAATTAAATTACTTTATATTTATTTTAAATTCTATTAAATATGGATAAATATTTTATAAACTATACTATTAATTGTAATATTTTATAAACTATCATCCTTAATTAACCCTTCAAATAAAAGTTTAGCGGCAAAATTAATTATTAACTTATAAAAAAATATTAAAATATAGTGAGACTCACTTATGGCCAACAAACATTAAGTATTTTTTAATATTAGGGTGATAAAGGATAAAATTTTTAATATTGGAAGACAGAATTAATTTATAATTAAATTTATTACTTTTAATAACCCTTTAAATAAAGCTAAAAGTTAAAAATAATTTTAAACCCATATTTTTTAAAAGATGATGTTGACATGTGTGACAGTATTTGGTTTACCTAAAAATTTTAAGGTTATAATGGAAAAACGTTGGCAAGCTGTCTGCCTCACATTTTAGAGGCATTTTATTCACACGGTTTTTGCACCCAAGGGAGGCCTATGTTTTCAATAGCACAATATTTTAAGGGCTACCTCACGTGCAATATTAATTACCTACATGTCAACTTATGAAAAAGCAAGAACGCACGTGCAGTATTTGCAAAAGATCTTCAAGAGCGTAGCAAGTATATGCGGCAGGCTTTAAAATAAGGGGAAATTGGCCACATGAATCAAAAGTTTCAAATATTTAGGCTCGAGTCCCAAATGCATAAATAAAACCTGCAGAGGATGATGATCCTGGAGTAAGAATGTATTATCAACAAAATGACAAAATACATTTCCTTTTTCTATACTGACTTGCTGAAGTCATCCTTGAATTTTTAATAATCTATATTATGGAGATGAGAGCAGAAAAAGGAAGGGTGTTTTGATATTTTTGCGGAAAAACATTATCCCCCAAGGACCATGGTCTCCTACCAGTTTTATTTCCGAATTTATAATTATCCCTAAATATTTAAGCGTTTTGGTCCTTAAGGCCAATTTTCCCTTAAAATAATTGCTGGTAAGTCACAATTTTGGTTGAAATGGACAAATTTTTTAATGTCGCTGGACTTCTTTAAATACTTAGCTTGTTGCAAGTTGAGGAAGATGATGAGTTTTTACAAGATTTTGGAATCATCCTGAAAGTTCATACCTTTCAAAAGAGCTCTCAATTTTGGCTCAAATGGATGAATTTTTGAATCGTGCTAAACTTTTTCAAATGCTTGTTGAAAGTTAAGCTGGAAGGTACGTTTTTCCAAGATCTCAAAAACATCATGAACATTTATATTTGTTAATATTTAGAATTTCATGTTATTTCAATATATTTTCCTTATATTCTAATATATTTTGGAATAATTGTACATATTTTGAATACTTAAGTTAGGACAACATGCGTATTATTTTGAAAATTCACACCATGACTTTATTTTGTTATTTTTAGACTAATTTTATGTTATTTTAGTATACGGTTTTGAATGTTTGCATTTCTAGACTTTTGATAATACCATTGGAAGACTTTTAGATGGAGAAATCAAGCACAAAAACAATTAATCATGCAAATAAGAGAAGCGTGCAAAACTAGCTAAAGTTGTGACTTTATGCGGGTCTTTCGCTAAGCAATAAATGTTTGGGTTGGATACTATTTGTGCCTTGCTCAACTTGGGATCTTAGTTGTGCTAGAGTTTAGGTATTAATAGGAAAAGTTGTGATCAAGAGCTTTGAAGATATTATTTGAGCTTCTTTTAGTTAGTTTTTCTATTTCTTTTCCTTTTCCTTCTCTTATAATCTTATAGGAGTCTTGACTCCACCACTGGTCACTAAGGTCATGTCTCACTAATTTTCTCAAGACACGTTTGAAAGGTTGTAAAATCAAAATGTGTCACTTAGTGAAAGAAAATATTATTTGAAAAAATCTACATATTAAAAGGTTATTTTTCATGAAAACTTATACATATTAAAGAGTTATTAAATATTAAACCATATTGATTCATGAAATAACATAGGGTTATGACTTTTAAGTAAAAAAATTTATTGCATAGAAGGCACGACTTCAAGGATCACTTCATCATCTATAAATACTCTTCAATATCATTCATTTCTAACATTCAAATATCCAAAATCTTTACCTTTGTTTTTGAATGCACTAGATATAAAGTTAAATTATCACTTTGTAAAAATCATTATTATCTTAGCTTAAGTCCTGGGAGTGCAAATTATATTCAAAGGTTTTCATTGTATCATGAAGAAAATTTACTAACAATCCAATTTGCACCCAAAGATTGGAATATGTGGAGGCGAATTAATTAAGCTTCAAAGAAAGTCCTACACACACCTTGAAGAAATCATGAACAACTTTTTTCTTCATCTAATCTACTTTAGTTGGGTTTGTATTGGCTCAAGCCCACATTAAATGTTTCGAGTACATAATTTTATACAGAAAAAAAATTAGGAACCCACAATGTTCAAAACTTCATGATAGATATTCTCTAATGTTGGCAGAACCTACTCTTTATACTTATCCCGAAAAAAAAAAAAAAGAGTGAGAGTAGTTATTCCCATATTGCATTTACGGGAATACAAGAGAAGAACCGAACTCTCTTATCAGATTGGTGAAGAAGTTGCATACGTCTCTCTCTATCTCTACACACACACACACACACACTTTTGTGTTATTTACGCTGTGAAAACTTGAACCCAGTAAGAAAGTGATTCAGTTTACGGTGTGGTCTCATTTACCGATACAAGAAAAAGCAAATATGTTTCCAAATCCTACGATTTCTTTTTTTCTTCGGAGAACCATTCCTACCAACAAGTGTTGGTTGAGACGTGAAGTGGAGATCAGAGATGATGGAATTGGAAATAAAAATAAATAGAGAAAAGTTAGGCATGGATGTGGCAGTGGGCCTGCATAGCCCTTTATTTAATACAGCAGGTGAGGGATCTATTCACAATGGGAAGTAATAAGAGTGTCTCTCAATTCTAGATTGTCAATCACCTCTCTTCCTCTATATATATATATATATATATATATCATCCAGTTTTTTGGGTCTAGTACTAACCACTTTGAAAAATTTGAGAGAAAGAGAGGAACATAGTTGTAAAAGCATAAATCTGAGAATGGATGTGGCTCGAGTGTTGCGCATGAATGGAGGAACTGGAGAAACAAGCTATGCTAATAATTCCTTAATACAGGTATATATCTATTCATCAAATTCTTCTGGCATTTCTATTGGTGCATGTTTCCATGAAGGTATAAGAAAATTCATAAAATATACTGCTACTGCATATACTTAAAAATAACTTGTTTTGCAGCAAAAGTCGATTACCTTAACTAAACCTATAAGAGAGGAAGCAATAACTTGCTTCTACAAAGAAAGACTCCCACGAACCCTAGCAATTGCTGATTTGGGCTGTTCTTCAGGACCAAACGCTTTGTTTGTGACTGGTGAATTGATCCAAAATGTGGAGAAGCTACGTAGAGACCTAAACCATGAATCTCCAGAATACATCATCTTCTTGAATGACCTCCCAGCCAACGATTTTAACAACATCTTCAAGTCTCTTGAATGCTTCAAGCAAAACCTAAGCAGGCGAGTGATAGGCGGGATTGATCAATGCTACATCACTGGGGTTCCAGGTTCTTTTTATGGCAGAATTCTTCCTACTAATTCATTGGATTTTGTTCATTCCTCCAACAGTCTTCATTGGATATCTCAAGTATGGATACTTAATCACTCTCTCTTTGCATTATTTAGTATGTTTTTCTGCCTACTAAGATTATATATTGAGAATATATTTAGTATCAATATTTGTAAACTAATTAAAGTGTGGTTCATTAGTTAGTCCGTGTGATTATCAATTCATAGGTGGTTTGAGCTGCTTTTATGCAATGAACTGAACACCAGATAGATCCTTAAACCATTCAAAGTACTAATTCAAAATTTAATGATCAAAATCTTAGTTGAATCGTGATAATAAGCCAATCATTTTTTAAACCAATTAAAATACTAGTTTAACGGTTCAACTGGGAAAGTTGATATATATTTTCATACTATGCTTTGATTCCCTCACGGCATAATTGGTTGGATTGGCTAACGCTATAGGAAAGAGAAAATGGAAAAGGAACTACAAAAATTTGCGTTGTTTGGTGAGCACTGATTTTGTTTCCAAATATGGAAGCCAGTTCTATAAAAACCCATGCATGAAAGTATCCTTCACGTTCTTGTGAAATTTTGGAGAATTATTTATTTGCGGTCCAATTTTTTGACCGTTTGCCCCTTGCCTTCTCCTTCCAATTTAGTAATCTCCTCTTCTTCTCACCCTCTCACCTAATTAACCTTCTCCTTCCTCTCCCCACCCCTCTTGGCCTTTGCAATCCCCAAAAACACATCCACTGAAGCCTTATTTGCGACAACACCAACCAAGGCTAACGAAGTATAAAGTAGCAATACTTCAAATACTTCAAATTGCTTGATGCATCGATAGTGGTATATTGGTATTGTATCCGATATTGATGTGCGCCAATATATTTTTGATAAATATCATAAAGTATTAAAAATGATTTTTTAACTAAAAAATTATCTTTTTAATTTTCAATGTATTCGATACTTTTAATTTGCAAGTCAGCAATACTTCAAAATTGATACTTGAATTCATTTTTTAATAAATTAACTTTTGTTAAAGAGAGCCATTTATCTTTTTGTTCTGAATGTCTTTTTATGATTACTTTTAAAATTAAACATAAAAATTCCTTTAGAAAAAAAGGTTTATTATGTTTCCAAGAATAAATATTTTATTTATTTGTTGCTATATTTTACTATTTACTTTCAAGTATTTATATTTTAGGGTTGTAAATAAGTTTGTAAATTTTTTAATTTTGCTTCAAAATCTTATATGGTGTGGGAAAACTAATATTTAAAATAAAATGATTAAATTCATACACTACTCCATTTTGAATATAAGAGAAACTACCCTCCATTTTTGAATATAAGAGAAAACTACCATGTTCCTCTTTGTTTTTATTTATAAGCAAAATTACAAGTTTTCAAGAAGCATTTATCACATTTTTTCCCATGTTGTCCCTCCTAAAGTCAATGTTTATTTTCACTAAACAAAATTATTTCATTAATTACAAGGATAAGTAAGTCCAGTTCTTAAATTTTCATATATAATATTACACTTAATTAACTTTCTTAAACTGTATGAGTTAGTTATTTTTTTTATATTTAGAAACAGAGGTATATACGTGTGTGGTTCCAAGGTTAGAGCCACTCGACACCTCCTCAACTCTTGTTTCAGTATTTAATTTGATTTCAGGGTGTTGTTGATATATTGTCATTCCTGATTTCTAGTTTTAGTTTCTACTTGCGGTTTCTACTTTCTGATCAGTTCTCACTTGCATAGGTACCGAAGCATGTAGAGAACAATAAGGGCAATATTTACATTGCAAGCACGAGCCCTTTAGATGTCCGAAAGGCATACTACGACCAATTTCAAAGAGATTTCTCTTCGTTTCTCAAGTGTCGTGCTCAAGAACTTGTTGAAGGGGGTCGTATGGTTCTTACTCTCGCAGGAAGAAGCAATGATTACCCATCAAGCCATGAATCTAAGTACATTTGGGAGCTTTTATCTAAGGCACTCAACGACATGGTTTTGGAGGTACGGTACATACATTTTTCTAATTTGACAATATATATAGTGAAAGAGCCAAGATTCGAAGCCAAAGAGTGAAGATAATTTAATTTAAAAATTAGTCTTTTTTTTAAAAAAATAATTTAAACAATTAAAAAATAATATATAATTACACTAAGACTAAAATTGTAATAACATCAATAGTTATCATTATTTTTCTTTTAAAAAAATTATATTGAACATGTTAATATAATATTTTTTTATAAATATGTTCTTCATATCTTATCTCAATCATTAAAATATTACATGCCTAATAAGCTTTTAAACCCAAATATTTTTTTATTTGATTCAAAGGATGCAAAATATCAAAAATAAAGGGGTGCAAAGTTGCAAAATTTACACACCATATTTGTAATTTTGTCCAAAGTAAGGCCCTTCATTTGCACACAATCACCATAATGTGGCTCTGCCAGTACTGGCTATATATATATATATATATATAACACAAATTTCTTCGAAATACATGAAAAAAAAAAAGTCACGATAAAATATTCTTCCATAAAATAATTTGTTTTGGTGAGTGATGTAGGGAATCATAAAGGAAGATGAGGTAGATTCATTCAACCTTCCTCTCTACTGTCCATCTCCATCTGAATTGGTGCTAGAGATTGAAAAAGAAGGCTCATTCACTTTGAATCTCTTGGAAGCATTTGAAGTAAGTTGGAAGGATGCATGTGGTGATGAAGATCTCAATGATAATAACAGTGGATTCAAAGTTGCACAGTTTATAAGAGCTGCAACGGAACCTTTATTTGTGAGCCACTTCGGAGAGGCCATTACTGATGATCTTTTTCATCGTTATCAAAATATAATAGCTGATCGTATGGCTAAGGAAAACAATGTGTTAGTTTTTCTCACCATGTCTTTGACCAAAACAACTTGAAGAAGCCAACATATATGTATGTGTGTGTATTCATAATACATTGGCAATGTGTGTTGAATAAAATATAGCTAGCCGATCTGGTCACAGCATTGATTCATGATTCATTGGTTGTAATATTAAAGTGATATATTTTTAATTTTATATGTTTTTACAAATTTTGATTGTTTTATATGTTGAATAATATCTGAGATTGAGTTATTGCATAATCTAAAGCATGAGGAAAAATTGTCTTATATATGAATTGTCTTCCATCTTTTTTAAAAAGATGATGTTTACATGCGTTAGAATTACCTAAAAAAATAAATTTTTAGTCCATTAGTGTAATGACTCTAAATTTTAAATTAAATTAATTTTTTTTTTCAATTGACATTTCATTTAAATTAGTTTTATAGCAAGTAAAAAGTGACAATTTAAGTGAAACTTATATCAATAACTTTCTTGAAGGTTCAGAGTTTAAATTTTACAGAGTAAAAATTTGATTTTATTTTGTTTTAAGTTATAGGAAAATTCTGTGCCCTTTTTTGTGCCGTTTTTGTAATTTTCCCTGTGCCTTTCTTGTAATTTTCTCAAATAATTCTCAGTCAGATTTTTCTTATTCTTGTGCGAAGAATAGAGCGAGACAGAGTATCCCATTCCTTATTTCTCTTCACCGCCATTGCACTTCTCTAGTTCTTCCTCGTTGGCCAATGCTCTGGTTCTTCTCATCAATTTCCTTTGCTCGCCGTCGGTCTACATCGATTCTTGTTGTCGTGTCTGTGCTATTGGGAGAGTTGATATCACCGTTCTTTGTTCCTCTCTGTTCTGGATTGACAGCAGCATTGTGTGCGTGTTGAGCTTCTATTTTTCTTCCTCCTCAGTTGCTGGACGTCGCGCGTGGGTGTATGGTGAGCTCAAGTTTTTCTCTTTTTTCGGGTTGCTGAATTTCTGCTTATTCTCCTTCTCCTTTAAGCAGCAGGGGCGAAGCTTTTCTCCTCTCTTTGTGTGTCGTTCGTGCGCTAATATGCGGCTGTTGCCACTGTACTTTGGTTTGAGGTAATTTGTTGGTCCTTCTTCTTCCTCTTTGATTTCTATGGCAACACCAAATCATTCTTTTCTCCTCTGGCCGGTTCATGATGCCTCTGTTCCTCACTGTGTTATCGTGTTGATTTAGGAAGAATCGGGTTGTTGTTTCGGTTAATGCTAGATTATTATGTTGTGATGCTGGGCTGAAGTTTGGCTATTGAAAGAAAAAATGAAAATTGCTGAATTGCTTGAAAGTTTGTCTTATGATTTTATCAATGATGGATGCTCTCAATATGTCTGTAAAATTACTTGAAAAGAGGTTTTTAGCGAAAAAAAAATTGTTTAATTTTATATTAGGGTTTGAAAGAATTATGGGATGCCACTTGAAAAGTTATATGTGTAATTACACCCAAAAGTAATAAATCAAAAATATTGATTGGGATCTTGGGGGTAATTAAAACGGATAATATTAAATTAAATATGAGTTTGTGGTGAGTTATTAAGTATTAAGGAAGGCATAAACGAGATGGGAAGATTTTCTTTTGCTCCTGTTGTGTTATTGTTAAGTGATTAATTTAATAAAGAAATTGGTGGCGGTATATGTTTAATTTTGATGTTATTTGAGATTGAAATGTTTAGTGTTTTTGATGAGACTTGTGTAATGTTAGAAGTTGGTGAGATCTATTGCATGGTTGTCAATTAAACCTTGATAATTCAAGGTGCTTGTTGAAATATTTGAAAAAGAAAGGATTAAAGGAATTTGTGGCTTGTAGCACATTACAAAATTTTAAGAAAACATGAGTTTAATTTAGCTTATCATGTTTTATGTTAAAGGAAATTATATAGGTTACATTTGCTGTTTGAGATTTCTCTTCTATACTAGAGTGACAAGTCATTTAAATTTTTTAATTTGATTTGGTTAATGCTTGGATGATTGAATACTATGTCTTAAGAATAAAGATCTTTTTACATTCTACAATACTAATTGAAAATTTCATAGCCAGTGAATTGTTGGAGTTATGATAATTGGACTTAAAATTTTTTGGAAGAGAGCGTGCTTTGAGACAGTTGAATTAAGAATAAATAAGGTTTTAGAAAGTCTTGTGAATATTTAAATAAAGCATAAATAGATAAAGTTGTAGTATGAAAAGTTTAGTATTATTAGCTTGTTGGTTTGTTTAATTAGGTAATTAGTGGTATTATTGAAGCTTAAGTGAGAAGCTTAAAAAGAGCAATATTATAGAGATACTTGAAAATGTGTAAGGTGAGTGGATAGCGCCTCTAAACAAAATTTTTGCAAGGTTTTCATAAAATTTCTTTTACATGAATTTTAATATTATTCCTTCATAAAAAAATTGTATAAATATCCTTGTAAATCCTTTTTTTTTTATGATGATTGTTTTATTAACTACAATAACTTGATTTTATTGATGATTTATGTCATTAACAAGTAGTGATTGAAATTAATATACAACAAATGTTGTTACTTTTCAAAAACAACTTAATTTCTTAACACCATGTTTGATATGCAAATTTTGAATACAGCAACTCGTGTATGGAGGAAATGAAAATGAGTATGAAAATGAAATATGACCATTGAATCGTATATTTTGAAAGCAAAAATTTTAAAATTTTTTTTTTTACTCTATGCATGCTTGGTTTTAATTAGTGGACTAAGTTCAGAATGCTACATACTAATGAAAGTTCCTTTAGCCTTTGGCACGCCATAGAATATTTAGCTAGTAGGGTGCTTAGGATGAACTAGCCCCATGCAACGGCCAACACACGTGAAATGGAGAGATTGTTATTCGTGAACATAGTATTCACACTTGATTTCATGAGCCTTATGCTTACACTTGTTTTCGTGGCTTCAAGTTACGCTTGTTGATTACTTACTCTTGTGGACTATGAGTTCATACTTATTAGTTATTTACTCTCATAAACTATATGTCCATATTTGTTAATTATTGTGAAAAAGTCTTGTTAAAACGTGAAACTTTTAAAATTATTATTTTTAAATTTATTCTATTAAACAAATTGTTGTTTGGTCATATATGATTTTACATGAAAAATTATGTAATTTAATTGTTTAAGATGAAAGCTGTAGCTTAGAATGTTGAACTTGATTTTTTCATTATCTATAATTCAATATATTTATATACTTAATTATGTTTTCGTATATGATTGTTTAAGAATAAAAATAAAATGATGAATAAAATGAGTTTTAATATGTTAATGGTTTGTTTATTGGATTCATAAATGTTCTCTTCCTTCATTTTTATAATCTCAATTGAAATGCTAATCACTAAAAAATTGTCTTTGGTCTCAGATATTAAATTTGATCCTACCCCTTCTACTGATTATTGAGGGGCATAATTGTTTTCGAAAAGGTGGAAGTATATATTGACAATTTATTTTAATGTAATTATGTATTATATTATACAATTATAATTTAATATTCATGTATACCATAGTTAGGTCATAGTCTCATTTTATTGTTGTGAAGTCTGTTGGTGTGGAGCTAAGCTCTTTTTTGATTTGGCTGATAGGTTTGTTGTTATAGAAATTTCGAGAGGTCTTAATTATAGAAAAGACTGCCAAAATTTCTACAAAATGGTTAAGACTTTACGAATCTTAAATTTAGATTTAAATTATATATTATTATCTTAAATTAATTTTTTGATTAATTAAGGCTTATGAAATGTGAGTCTATCTCAGATTCCATGCTAGTCACACCCTCAGTACTAGAGTGTGACAATTAAATTCTTTTCAATTATCAGTTTAATTTGGCTTCTCAAGTTTATTTTTTATTGATTTGATCCCTTACATTTTCTTAAATTATCATGTTATAGTCCTTTAAATTTTAAAATACAAGTTGATTCTCAAATTAATATAATCTGTAAAGTATATGTTGATAACTTGGTATGTATATGTAGCTAAATGAAAAAAAAAAATAAATTAGCTCTTGGACGATTTTAATTCTTATTAATTTAATTCTTTATGTTGAGTTCTCTTCTTTTGTTTGTTAAAATTTGAGTCTATTCTTTTTCTATCTAAATAATTACATTTCCATTCATTAATCTATAATGTTGCCATCAATATTTTGTTATTCATGTGAACAAATTTTAGTAGGATTACATCTTAAACAATTAGCATCAAACCAATAATTGAAATAAACTTGAGCTGCCATATGAATAAAAATCAAACTTACAAAATTAAATTAATAATTGAGATAAATTTAAAAGCCTAAAAGTTACATTATGGCCTGAGAACAGGCAATGAAAAAATGTTAGGTAACTGTCTCCCTCATATTTTGAAAACACTTTATTTATTTACATGGTTTTGTGGTAAAAGGAGGCCCATCTTTCCAATATTCAAGGGGCAACATCACATGTAATATTTATTAATTACAATTTACAAACATGTCTACTTTAACGAAAAGAAAATACCTATGTCCGGTTTTTGCAAAAGATCAAGATTCTAGAATGCAACATCCAACAAGTATTTATGGCGAGCTTTAAATTAAATAATTGTGGGTAAGTGAAGTGCCTTAAACCATTTGCTTTTCCAAAAGAGCTCACAATTTTAGTTCAAATGGATAAGTTTTGGAATGTCGCCAGACTTTTTTCAAATGCTTGTTAAAAGTTGAGCAGAATGGTGAATTTTAAAAGTTTGTACTGGTTGAAAGAGCTCTCAACTACTTTGGCTCAAACAGATGAGATTTTCAAATGTTGTTGGGCTTTTCAGAATTTTCATTAAAAGTTGAGTTGGATGAAGAGTTTTCACAAGATTCTGAAAGTTTATTTCAATTCAAAGAGCTCGCAGTTTTGCCTCAAACAAATAAATGAATTTTCATATGCCACTAGATTTTTTGAAATGCTCGTCAAAAGTTGAGCTAGATAGTGTGTTCTCACAAGATTCCAGAATTGTATCAAAAGTTCTTTCCTATCAAAAGCGATCCCAATTTTAGCTCAAACAAATGAATTTTTGAAAGTCAT